TACATTAGAAAAAATTGAACGAATTAGATCAAATTTTTTTAAAAAAATGTTGTGGTATTTTAACACAATATGTATTACATGAATGCATATTTAGTTGTTACAAAGTGCACATTTAGTTGATACAAAGTGCACTTTTAGTATTACAAATTGCACTTTGCAAATGCAAAAGTTTAGTACACTTAGAGTTTGGATTTGAGAGTTTATGCCTGAGTTTTTTTTTTTTTTTTTTTTTTTAATTTGATTTAGGAATTCATTTTTTATTGCTTAGGGTTTAGCATTTATGATTTATGTTTAAAATTTTGTTTTTCATTGGCTTTTTAAAAGTTATCCAATAATGCACATTTAGTTTTTACAAAGTGCATAGTTAGGTATTACAAAGTGTACCAAAGACCTTGTAGTTAAGCGGCATGAAGTGACTTTTCTAAGTGGGAGGTCATGGGTTCAAGCCTCAGTATATACACAAATACTACATGTAAAAAATATTACAAAGTGTATAGCATGGTGTTACAAGTTGCAAAGTAAAATTATGAAAACATCATCATATTATATATTCTTATTTCTTCATGTAAGAACTACTCTCATTGTGAGAAATTTGCACAAATTTGGACTTTCCATCTAGTAGATTTAACAGTTGAAAATAAGGTAATATATGACCGGAGTAGTAGTTTAATACAGATTACAAGCCTTGAAGTTTGTAATATTTATGAAACTGGCCACATTATTAAGATTTGTCCATAATTCTTAGAGGAAAAATGATTTTCATATATATATATATATATATATATATATATATATATATATATATATATATTGTATGTATCCACACACACTAATAAGAGGGGCAAAAAAAGTTAGGCCTATAATGGGTAGAAAAATGGTCGTCAAATTATTAAATTAAATGAATGGTTCATATTGTTCAAATTTTAATTTTTCCTTGAGATTTTCTGATTTATCCTTAATTATATGATTATCCGTTAACTTTTTCGTTTTTTTTTTTTTTTTTTTTGAATGCTACTAGTTCTATTACATTGTATTATCTGTTCATATACTTTCTCAATCTACTGAAGCACAAAGAACCAATAATGCCTCCACTGAGGCTCGAACTCATAATCTTCCAAATGGAAGTCCAACCCGGATACCATTATCTTCCAAATGGAAGTTAACTTTTTCGTTAAATATTATCTTCTTCGTTAATTCACCGTTAACATTGCCTAGAAATCCTTATAGAATTCTAATATTAAAGTGTTAACAGAACTCTAACTCACAAATCCTTATAGAATTATAATTACACCATTAGTCTTACTCTAATATTAAAGTCTAATATAGAATTATAACTACACCATTAGTCTAATTATAATATTAAAGTCTTAATAGAACTCTAACCCACAAATCCTTATAGAATTATAACTACACAATTAATCTATATATTAAGCCATTGCCCATGGGTTAGGAGTACAATTGTACAAACCTAAATTATTATGTAACACAACATCAACGGGGTGTATGTTTGTACATCTCCTATCATGTTTCTATAATATTATTTGTATAAACTAATGACGGTGCAATATGCTGGATTGCCGGCACCTCCTCAAACTCAATCTTCTGCTAGAATCCCCTCAAACTATATTAGTATATATTTAATATCTTATGCTTTAATCTTTATTTTCTTTTCTTATATCTCGTATTTGGTTTCAACCATAGTCATACAATTATTTTATAAACAATTATAATCAATCTTGCCTATATTTTCTTGGATTTGTAAACTTATAATTACCTATTTAAATACGCAAATTCAACATTCAATTATCTATGCATGAACAATTCAACTCCAATATAATCCTTTTTTTTTATTGAAAGAAAACTCCAATATAATCTTATCTTGATATATTTTAAAGTACTTATTTAAAAATAAACATTAGACATTATCTCAATCGTGCAATGTGCGTGAAAAAATTAATATATATATATATATATATATATATATATATATATATATATATATATATATATATATCCCCATGATGTGATGGGAGTTGGTACAGGGTCATCAGGGGTATCCCCATGACCCCATCCCAGCCTTCACACGGGGAATGGAACAATATATTAAGGGAAAATAACACTTTTTCTCTTTGAGTTATATATTTATAGCATTTTTTTTCTCTGAATTATTTAAGTGATTTTTTTCCTTAAAATGTTAAATGGACATATTTACCCTTAAAATAAATATTTCATTTATTTTTCTTCTTCAACAAATTATGACAACAATTTGGTTCAAACCAAATAGACACTATAGCAATCAAACCGGAATATTCTAATTACAATTTAGAATCGAAACCCGATATTTAGAGTTAATTACAATTTAGAATCAAAACCCGATATTTAGAGTTCATTAAAATCGCGAACCGAGATGGTCGATTTATGTTCCGAACTGGAAAAAATAAAATACATTTATTATTGAATTAAGACTATTTTAAAATAAAAAATAAATTTTTAAAATAAAGACGGTTCAAAATCGCGAACCGAATACGAAACCGCCGGTTTACGGTTCAAGATCTAATTTTTTCGATTCATAATTTTAATAAACTGAAATCCAAATATTGGGTTCTGGATCTGAATCATAACCGAAAACTTTTAATTCGATTGCTATAGTGTCCGGTTCAATTCGAATCGAATCGTGGTCATCCCTACGTATACGCAATAATTTGTTGGAGAAAAAAAAATAAAATATTTATTTTAAGGTAGAAATGTCAATTTAATATATCAGGGGGAAAAACGAACACTTTTAAAATAATTGAGGGGGTTAATGTGCTTACATAAATAATTCAGGAGAAAAAAATGCTATAAATATATAACTCGGGAAAAAAAGTGTCATTTTCCAACATATTAATAAGTACTGAGTACCTTTCAAAAAAAAAAAAAAAAGAACTTGAGTAAAGTTTTGGCTTTTTTTTTTTTTTTTTTTTTTTTTTTTTACAAATGCATTGCTTTTCTAATTTAAAAAGTTATAATAAAAATCAAATTTCTTTCAGACTTCCAGCCAAAATAAAGACCAATCAAATCAATTTTATTTTCAAGGATTTGATCATTGGCTTTATGTATGGAGCAACCTTAAATCTCCAGGTCAACTGTCTCATCCAAAAGAGATATCCATCATCCAGCGAGAGGATTAGTCACTGTGTTCGACGGTGAAAACTCTGAGTACATAAAAGAAAAAAAAAAAAAAAACAATTTTATTCGCAAATTAATGTTCCACTGAAATTCATATCTAAACGCTAACTAATTATGAAGGGATGAAAATGATAGATTTTCATACGCAAAAAGTTTGTTTGTACAAAATAGTACTTTTAAAATTTTCAAATCTTATTGACCGTTTGCTGTTGTGTGAATCACTAGCCCAAAAGGTACAAGTCATATAATTCGAAAATAATTCCAAAATGTCTCAGAAGGAAAATCGAATGAAAAAAAGCATATGATTATTGTATATAGAAAGTCAAAACATCAATGCTTGTCAAAAAAAAAAAAAAAAAAAAAAAAAAAAAAAAAAAAAAAAACATCAATGCTTGTGATTCACTTAAATATTATTTTCTCTGTTATATTTACTATCACCATTAAAATCAATTCTCTTTTTTTTTTTTCTAAATAATAATAATAATAATAATAATAATAATAATAATTTTTAAATTCAACATTTTGTGTTTAACAATACTTAAGATATAAATTTTATATACTAATAGTAATTTAAATGTTACTCCATGTTGCATTTTATGTGTTTGGTTTGGCTAATAAAGTTTAATTGAAATTATTTGCAATTCAAATTTTTGTAATATTTAATTTAGTATTAATACATAATAATTATATACTTAGAAACTACACCAAAACTACTATTAAATACCAAAAAAAATCAAATTTAAAAATTATAAGAAAATGTTAAAAAATAACCAAAGAAAGAAGAGTTACACTGACTAGTGAATAGTAAATATGATTGGTAAAATAAGATAGATGTAACACTATAACAATTTAATAAATTACTATATATACCAAGTAAATAATTATGTACAATTTTTTTAACAAATTAAATTTTAAAATATAAATAAATAAAAAGTTTGAATTTAAAAATTTAAAAAAAAAAAAAAAAAAAAAACATTAACGAAGACTACCCGGCTATCTCCGTCTGATATTTTTTAAAAAAAATTCAAAATTTTTATTTATTTATTTTAATTTTTAATTTGTTAAAAAATTTATATAAAATTATTTAATTTACACCAAATCATCGTCACATTAAATATCAAGTGATTGCCTAATCAAAACAATCAAAACAATAAAATATGCTAAAAAGTTTAGTTGAGAGCTTAATTTCACTTTTTTCTAATTTAAGGAGCATCAACGAAGGTTTTTTTTTTTTTTTTTTTTTTTTTTTTTGGTTAAAGGCTTAATTGCACTATGTAGTCAATTTAGGATGCTTATTTAACACTTTTCTAAGTTTTAATGATACTTTGTGTGACCATTATGTAATTACTACATATATAAAAATGGTAACACTTGTGTAAGACCATCTCACAAGTCTCAATCCGTGAGAAGGGTCAGATATTTGATTAATGTGTCAAATTTTTTGTTAATGAGTAGGATCTTTGACCTCATTAATCAAAGATCCAATCCGTCTCACGGATTAAAACCCATGAGACAGTCACACACAAGTTTTTGCCATATAAAAAACATCAGATTTTCTTATTTATGACATGCTAATAGGCAAAACCTTTATTTTCTTGGCCGTGAGACTATGAAAAGTGCTATTGGTTTTGCCAAACGGTGTCATTCTTGACTTGGAGACTACAAAAGTGCTGTGTGGTTTTAGCCAAATGGTTTCTTTCATTTGACTGGAGACCTCAAGAAAGTGGTGGTTTCCTAGCCAAATGGTTTCCTAGTACCCCACTGCCTGCCCCTATGGTATGCATAACAGAACTCCCTAGTCCCTACAGTAAAATATGACACACTGAAATGTCCTCAAATTATAAATTTCATTTGAAGAACCCAAGGCATTGAGAAAAAGTAACTAATTCAGGCACGGTAAGTGCCTATTTTAAAGAAGATTCCATGGAGTGTAGCAGAAATTACATGAAATAACCTAAAAGTGCATACCGGCAAGTTTGTTCACAACAATTTAGGGGAGAATAAAATGCAAACTTAGAGCCAACCTAATCTGGCCAGTAAAACCAATATATATAGATAAATGTTCAAAAAGATGATGGCACTCACTTTACCTTCTATGCCTGCCACAGAAATAAAATTAAAAAGGGGACAATTAGTAAGGCCACAAGTCCATAACCAATCATATGATATGATAGCGATTACTGAATATAGGCAGGATTTTGTTCCCTGGCCTCTCTCTCTCTCTCTCTGTGAGAATGCATACACTTGTTAGGATAGAGGAAATTTACCTTGTTTGCAATGTTGTTTGAGAGCCAGTCCAATCCCTCATACAGCCCTTCTCCAGATGTGGCACAAGTACTCTGGATATACCTATAAGAAATACATAAAACAATTGGTAAGACTTTTTAGTTACAATATAGTGACATAATATAATTTTTAGGGAATTCTACCATACATATGAGGTATGAATATAGAATACCTTAAATTTTGTTACTATAACATTTAAGTTTGAGTTAATACCCAAAATTGTCCTCGACTATAGTGGTTTTTCTAAATTTTGTCCAAAACAACTTTGGTGTCATAAAGTAGTCCCAGACTTGTGTTATCGCTCAATATTGTCCTCCGTTTGTTAATCCGTCAAAAGGGTGTTAAGTACAGGGATAATATAGTCATTTCATATTTAGGTTTCTCTTGGTCTCCTTCCTTTACTCCACCGGTAATCCAGCTGACCCTTTTCAACAGCAAGATCTGAATTCTTCTGCTCAGACAGTATAATTACTGTCTTAAATACCCTGCCATATAACAATCTCCATTCCAAAGCAGTACGTTCAACTGGTCCACTGCAGAACATGATTAGCACAATATTGCCAAAATTCTTCATCCACTTAATCAAGTTTCCAATTACATAATTCACCGTCCCAATTTCCTCAACTCCAAGATGCACAGATGGCAACTTTTGAGGAACAAATTCTTTCCTATCACCAAGGCCAATACTTGCCCTTGGCCGATCCAATTCAAGAGACATTAGACGTGGCTATAGGTAACCAATAGCATGCAAATCTTGAAGCCAAGCAGCAGTCAACTCCAAGTCCCTCTCCGTCCAAAAACCTTCCTCAGCCATTGCATAACTCAACTCCAGAATCTTCTCAAATAATTGATGTTTATTTTATCTCCACGATACTAAGAACTTAATTAACCAACCCAGAGACCGGTGGAGTAAAGGAAGGAGACCAAGAGAAACCTAAATATGAAATGACTATATTATCCCTATACTTAACACCCTTTTGACGGATTAACAAATGGAGGACAATATTGAGCGATAACACAAATGTCTGGGACTATTTTATGACACCAAAGTCGTTTAGGACAAAATTGAAAAAAACCACTATAATCGAGGACAATTTTGGGTAATAACTCATTTAAGTTTAGATACTATATGCTCTTTAATTTGGTACTATATACTACTAGGCTATGTAGTATAAAGTTCTTTCTCATATTATATTTTAGAATTATGCTATAATTTAAAGATGAACCAAATTGAAGAGCACATTTAGTACCAAAACTAAAATGTCGATACTGCAAAACAATTTAGGTACTGTATTCCAAATGAAAATGTAGAATTTCTATAACTTGTGATGATGCCTAAGTGCATCCAAACAGATAGATAATCAAGCAAGCCAGAGTACAAGGCCACAGAATATACCAGTGACGTTGACGGAGTGAGTGAAGACCAAGCTTGTCAGTAATCTCAGCAGCATTCATAGCATTAGGAAGATCTTGCTTGTTTGCAAACACAAGCAACACAGCATCCCTCAATTCATCCTGTACAAACATTGCTCAATTCAGTATTGAAATCAAAATATGGTGCGGTGGCATCAACGATTCTATCAGTTCTAGGTTCCTTTGGATGAAATTCCAAAAGAGAGGTTTATCAATATCACATTGCACATGTACAGGAATACCTCATTCAGCATACGGTGAAGCTCATCCCTAGCCTCAACAACACGATCTCGATCATTACTGTCAACAACAAAGATAAGCCCTTGCGTATTCTGGAAATAGTGTCTCCATAGTGGACGAATCTGGATTCACAAAATATTGATAAGCAATAGCATTTTCTTAAAGGACAATTCTGCTTTATTAGGTTGTGAGACACCACAGGTCAAACCGTCAAACCCCAGAAAGTCAGATCACTTAGAGGCCAAAAATACCATAATATAGGCCCTTTCTAATAAGTCATACCATATTATATAAGCCATGGCAGCTGTCTACTACAAACCCAAACAGAAATAAACTTGCTGGAGCCTAGAGGTCAAGATACGAATAGCAGGCAGAAATTCAAGAATTTTACCAAGGGCATAACTAAATCATTCTAATATAAGGAGCTTAAAAATTTTAGCATCTTGTTGGCAGAGAACTATAAAAGAGAAGTAAAAGTCATCACATCAAATTAGTAATATACTAATGTAGTATCAATTACCTTGTCCTGGCCACCAACATCCCACACGGTAAAGCTTATGTTTTTGTACTCAACGGTCTCCACATTAAATCCTGATAAAGAAAAGGCAATAAACATCATTACCATGAAATCAGAACTAAAACCAGTGGTACCATTGACCACCTAAATTGGATGAAAGGGCAAAGACCAACAAATATGAAAACTTAATGAAACTTACCAATAGTAGGAATGGTAGTAACAATCTCTCCCAGCTTAAGTTTATACAATATAGTGGTCTTACCAGCTGCATCTAGACCCACCATAAGGATACGCATCTCCTTCTTGGCAAAGAGCCGGCTGAAAAGCTTTGTAAAGGACAACCCCATATTTTAAACGCTGCTGCATAAAAAGTAGTTAGGCTTGCAGATCAATAATGAAGAGTAAGGTTGCATGGATGATGGATGCAAGTGATTTATTCGGAATCATGCATAATTACTTCCACATTTCTATTACACTGATATTTCTTTCAATTTCCTGGAATTTCCCAATCAATTTATGTTATACTGCAAAATTCTGTTCCCCAAAAACTCAACAAAAGGAGATGCATGACCAGTACAATGTGCAGATCAATGACAATCCCTAATTTTAGGTATTGCACAAAGTAGCTACAATATTGCATTTTAATCAGACATTAATCCTTAAAACAAAATGCAGATCCAGAAATTAGACATTAGAAAAATCATACGAACGACAGGATCAACTATACATATATACAGACAGATTCCCGAGATATATAAGCAGGAATTGTATTTATCTTGCACATCATAGACATATATATACATGAGAGTTCACGCATCTCTATAGATGTAAACCTACACCTCGATTCGCAAATTGGCAAAAATCAGAGATCAATATTTAAAGCTAAATTATCTGTTTGTACGCAGATCGTCTATACGAAAAATATATAGGTGTATGCGTCAGAAACAAAATGCAGAAAATGAAGAAAAAGAGAGAAAAATACCTTACGGAGCGACAGGGTGAAAAGCGAGAAGGGGAGAGAGAGGCAGATCTAGCTGAAGACAATCTGCCCTGTACTTGATGACTCGCGGTTATTTGGTCTCGCGGTAAGGATGGAATTAGAAAACTTAATTTCATTTCGTGTCCCAGATTTATAGTTGAAAATATTGTTAAATACAAATATATTACAATACTTTTTATACAAAATAGATTAAACTGTTATATTTTTAATGTTTTTTTTTAAATAAAATTTATAACTAAAGATTGAAATGTCATTGTATTTAATGATATTTAAACTATTTTGTTGATAAATGATAAAAATGATCATGTTACTATATTACTAAAATCAAAAGTGAATGTTCTGATAAAAATTAGTTTAAAGTAGACTGTCACTTATAAATCTTAGATAAAAATGAAATAAGCTCAAATAGAAAAATAAAGAATTGTAATTCTAATGGATAAGAATAATGAGGTTATGATTTGTTGATAACAAGATATTAATTCATGAATTGATTTCAAATTTTTTTTGTCATTCAAATTAATTTAAATGCGACAGGAAAAGTTGAATAGGGATTACCGATCCTTGGTCGAATATGTCAAGCAATTGGTACCTTGGCTTTTTTTGAGAGAAAATTATAAGATCAAATTACTGTGGTGCTTTGGGCTGTAATAATTAGAAAAAATATAGAATATATACTACCTTGTAAGAAAGTCAATAGTATTTTAAAAAAAAAAAAGGTCTAATATGTGAGCGTTCATTGAGCTTATCTGAGTCATTGATCTTACTTAAGTCAACGTTCAGAATTATCAAAAAAAAAAAATAAAAACAAAAACAAAAAAAACGTGGTTGTAATTTGATAATTTTTGCATCTAGATCAAATTTAAGGTGCATGGTTTTTGTGCTTAAGGTGCATATGTTTTGTGATTAAGATGTGTGTTTTTTGTGCTTAAGGTGCGTGGATTGTGTGCTTAATGTGAGTATTTGTTGAAATTTAAGGTGCGTGGTTTTTATGCTTAAGGTGCATGATTTTTGTTCTTAAGGTGTGTGAGTTTTGTGTTTAATGTGTAGTTGTTGAAATTTAAGGTGCGTGATTTTCTTTTTAAGTACGTTGTTTTCTTTCTCAAGGTGCGTGATTTGTATGTTAAAGGTGCGTCAATTGTGTGAAACTTAAGGTGAGCTATTTTAAAACTTTAGGTGCGTGGTTTGTATTTTTAATGTGCATTGTTGTGTGCTTAAAGTGCGTGATTTGTGTTCTTAAAGTGCTTTGTTTGTGTGCATTAGGTGTGTGGTTTGTGTACTTAAGGTGCGTCAATTGCACAAGCGCGAAAGCCTATACCCGCACCTGAACCCTTATATATATATATATATATATATATATATATATATATATATATATATATATATATATATATATATATATATATATATATATATAGGGGTTAGTTGCGAAAGACTCCCCAAGTGATAAATGCGCACAAATCTCAGCCATTAAATTCATCAAGATTTACTCTTCTTAAAAAAACTTGGAATGGACAAAAATTGTGCACTTGAAAACACAAAAAACAGCACTTGAAGGCAGGAAAATGTGCACTTGAAGGCCAAAATTCTGCACTCGATAGCACAAAGATGTGCAATCGAAGCAATTTATAGTATCAAAATGGAAGTTACTCAACTTAAGTATTATTGAAGCAATTACCCATGCAAATTGTTTTTAAATCTCACAAATTCCATTAAAAATTTAGTTACAGATTATTGAAAAGAAGACAAAACATATAATAAACACTTGTCCATAATTGCGCACTTAAAGGTACAAAAATATGCATTTGAAGGCATAAAAATATGCACTTGAAGGACAAAACTCTACACTCGAAATCATAAATATGTTTAATCGAAGCAATTTATGGTAGCAAAAGAAGAAAGTTATTCAACTTAATGTTATTAAAGCAAGTTTGGTAGAAAGCACGGTTGTCTACTACTGGGCTTCTTCTAAATCTGTCCAGCAATGATCTTCCCAAACCCTCCATTGGAGCGTTAATGGAGTCATAATCCCTGTATCTATAAGTCAATGGGATGATCGCAGGGCCAAATTGCGAGCGTGGAGGGCATTTGCCTTCAAGATAATGGCCTCTATATACAGTATGGTTATTTGACTTATTTCTGGTGCTGTAAGAATGAGTTGTTGAAGCTGTAATATCTGGAAATTCAACAATGCTCATTGCCTCAACAATTTCCCCTTCCTCAATTTCATCATTATTTGACACTAAAGAATGAGCTGTTGAAGCTGTAATACTTGAGGGCCCTTCTGCCATATCTGGAAATTCAATGCTCATTGCCTCAACAATTTCCCCTTCCTCAATTTCTTCCTTAATTTCATCATCACCATATATCGTGATTCCTGAGGGCAGATCCTCCTCATCTAGATAGCGTGGTGGGTATCCTATTTTCCGCATTCTGTGAAGCCATGGAGGTGGATCAAGCTCCCCAAGGTTCAAAAGTTTTCGGGTTTCGGGATCAAGAACACCGGGCTTTAAACCATCATACTTTCCCTTTTGATAATACCGGCTAGGATTAGCTGCATTACTTTTATGTCGTTTCGATTTGTGCTGTTTCTTCCTTGCAATATTGACAGCAACATTGTCACGGGGCTTGGGGCAATCCTTGAGCGAGTGGCTATAGGAACCACAATTGAAGCAACGAGAAGCATTATTAACTACTTCCAAATTATCTGTTGAACTCAAAGTAAATGAGAATCCACCACGGTCATAAAGAGGGACAGTGTTTGGATCAAATGGGGTGGAGCCCTTATTCTTTTTCTTCCTTGGTAGATCATCATCCATCCAAAAAGACACAGCGAAAGGCTTTCCCAGAGTTGTTCTTCGTCTTTTGACACCAGATAGTGGTGCACTTGGATCAATTTCAGAAACACTAGAAGTAGATAGGTTGATTATACCCTCAGTTTCCATGGCTAGGAATTCCTGAATATATATGGGAGCGGATGATTTTTCGCGTTTTCTGGGTTAATAACGCTGGGTGATACCGTGATACTGATATACATACAACTCAGAAATATACCGTAACGAGAGAGTATTCCTGGAAAGTACTGCAATGCTGCGCAGCACTTATAGGATTCATTATCTTTTTCAATTCTAATCATAGTCATGGAGGGAAAGTTCTTTCCTCAAATTTTAGGAGTAGCCACAAATTTTGTGGCTACTCCTAAAATTTAAGGAAAGAACTTTGCCTCCATGATTATGATTAGAATTCAAGAAGAGAATCAATCCTAAAAGTGCATTGGCGGGCAATAAGAGTCAATAATGTTAGACTTTAATTGGAAAAAAAAAATGTTGGTGTAATTATTTCTTAAAATGAATGGTTCATATTATTTTAGTTTTAGTATTTCTTTTAATCATTTTTTTATTTACCCTATATTATATTATTTCCTTCTCTTAAATAATTATGGATTCTGTTAATATAAACTTTACTAACGGAATATTCCGTTAACTATTTATTATTCTTAACTTACTCATTAGTTTCTATAAAAAAAGGTCTTAGGCTCGAACCACATCCCAATCAGAGTTGGCATAATTGTTAAACATATATTAGGAATATGTTAAAATATATGGAGTATTAAAAAAATAAATACAATATAAAATTTAACATAAACTTTTGTCAAATAATTAGTCCGAGTAAATACAAAGCATTCAAAGATTATAAATCATGAACTTTGAAAATCATTTTCTTGCATTTTCTTAAAAAAAAAAAAAAAAACAAATTTAGGTTAAGATTTTTTTTCGTTTAATTAATCTTCTTTTGATTATTTAGAACAAAACTCAATATTTCAATTATGCTTTTGCATTATTATAATGATTGTTATTAATATTTTTTGTATGTATTTTTATAATGGTACAATTATACATTACTTTACAAATATTATATTATTATTTTTTTATCAAACAAACTTGTTCTTACATCATTGTCAGACCTGCGCGACCTAATTACAAAGTTGTTGATCATAAATACAATTACACATGTACTCTAAAACGATAGGACCATTTTCCATAGAATTGACAATATTACATCCCTTTGGCTCAAATTGAACAAGTTTACACATCATTCTCTAAATTTTATCAATGTATGAAAACTTCAAAAAAAAAAAATTTGTAAGTCAATTTTGACTATATTATTATAACAATATATATTGTAATCATAAATTTCGAATTATTTATTATCATTCTCTATTGACAGCAATTCTAGCAATTGTCATTGACAAACTCCCAAAATAATTTGTCTCAACAACGAATGAAAATTAAAAAATCAATGACTTCAATGTTGGGGATGAAAAGTATGTACACCGCTTTATTGTTGGAAAAAATAGCTTAAAATGGCATAAAATGGCATGTTAAGTGGCTATTTTGTGGTACAATTATCAGTGGGGTCCACTTCCGATTTGGGTCGGGTCAAAGTGGATTCGGATTCTTCGTAGTGAGACGAAGAGATCGATATATTGTACGCTCAAAACGGATAATGGGTGAATGAGATACTGATTCTCAAAGTAGACCCATTTGAGTTGGAAAATGAAGGGAAAAAGTGAGCTTTTGTCCCACATTGCTTTGGAATGAAGATTTTCCCCCCTTATATACAAGAGCTCTTTTGAAGCTTGTAGAATTGTATAGCATAGAGGCTCTCTCGCGCGGGGGGGGGGGGGGGGTGCAAATCAAATTCCAACTTTCAGAGATTGAAAAAGGCTTGATTCAAGCCCGAGCTCGTGTGCGCCGGCACCTGGGGGCACGAATGTCTTTCTTTAAGCCATACTGTGTTCATAGCCATTGTCTTGCTCGCCGGATCCTTTGTTTGAATGCTCAAACATTGGATCATAGCAAGTTTTATCTTGGGAAGCCTAGGCCACAACGCTCCTAGCATCTACGGGAGGTTTTATCTTGGGAAGCCTAGGCCACAACGCTCCTAGCATCTACGGGAGGTGGCAAATAAGGTTTTAAGGAAAGAGTGCACACTTGACTCTTGCAAAAACCCAACACCAAACACTAGCCAATTTTCTTCAAATTTTCTTCCCTTCTTTCCAGAAAATAATAGTCAATTTTTTATTTGATTATTATTTGTTTTCTACCAACGGTTCCTACAATATTACTCTTATTAAATTAAATAATAAATTGGTAGTTACAACAAAAAATAATACATATGCATTTAATTAATTTAGAATTAGATGTCTATAATGCCTTTATTCAAAAAAATTATTCATTATAAAAAAATTAAAAAGAGATATAATTCAATAGTTATATTACCTCACAACACATGAAAATTCCAACTAGCAGAGATTGAAAAAGGCTTGATTCAAGCCCGAGCTCGTGTGCGCCGGCACCTGGGGGCACGAATGTCTTTCTTTAAGCCATACTGTGTTCATAGCCATTGTCTTGCTCGCCGGATCCTTTGTTTGAATGCTCAAACATTGGATCATAGCAAGTTTTATCTTGGGAAGCCTAGGCCACAACGCTCCTAGCATCTACGGGAGGTGGCAAATAAGGTTTTAAGGAAAGAGTGCACACTTGACTCTTGCAAAAACCCAACACCAAACACTAGCCAATTTTCTTCAAATTTTCTTCCCTTCTTTCCAGAAAATAATAGTCAATTTTTTATTTGATTATTATTTGTTTTCTACCAACGGTTCCTACAATATTACTCTTATTAAATTAAATAATAAATTGGTAGTTACAACAAAAAATAATACATATGCATTTAATTAATTTAGAATTAGATGTCTATAATGCCTTTATTCAAAAAAATTATTCATTATAAAAAAATTAAAAAGAGATATAATTCAATAGTTATATTACCTCACAACACATGAAAATTCCAACTAGCAGAGATTGAAAAAGGCTTGATTCAAGCCCGAGCTCGTGTGCGCCGGCACCTGGGGGCACGAATGTCTTTCTTTAAGCCATACTGTGTTCATAGCCATTGTCTTGCTCGCCGGATCCTTTGTTTGAATGCTCAAACATTGGATCATAGCAAGTTTTATCTTGGGAAGCCTAGGCCACAACGCTCCTAGCATCTACGGGAGGTGGCAAATAAGGTTTTAAGGAAAGAGTGCACACTTGACTCTTGCAAAAACCCAACACCAAACACTAGCCAATTTTCTTCAAATTTTCTTCCCTTCTTTCCAGAAAATAATAGTCAATTTTTTATTTGATTATTATTTGTTTTCTACCAACGGTTCCTACAATATTACTCTTATTAAATTAAATAATAAATTGGTAGTTACAACAAAAAATAATACATATGCATTTAATTAATTTAGAATTAGATGTCTATAATGCCTTTATTCAAAAAAATTATTCATTATAAAAAAATTAAAAAGAGATATAATTCAATAGTTATATTACCTCACAACACATGAAAATTCCAACTAGCAGAGATTGAAAAAGGCTTGATTCAAGCCCGAGCTCGTGTGCGCCGGCACCTGGGGGCACGAATGTCTTTCTTTAAGCCATACTGTGTTCATAGCCATTGTCTTGCTCGCCGGATCCTTTGTTTGAATGCTCAAACATTGGATCATAGCAAGTTTTATCTTGGGAAGCCTAGGCCACAACGCTCCTAGCATCTACGGGAGGTGGCAAATAAGGTTTTAAGGAAAGAGTGCACACTTGACTCTTGCAAAAACCCAACACCAAACACTAGCCAATTTTCTTCAAATTTTCTTCCCTTCTTTCCAGAAAATAATAGTCAATTTTTTATTTGATTATTATTTGTTTTCTACCAACGGTTCCTACAATATTACTCTTATTAAATTAAATAATAAATTGGTAGTTACAACAAAAAATAATACATATGCATTTAATTAATTTAGAATTAGATGTCTATAATGCCTTTATTCAAAAAAATTATTCATTATAAAAAAATTAAAAAGAGATATAATTCAATAGTTATATTACCTCACAACACATGAAAATTCCAACTAGCAGAGATTGAAAAAGGCTTGATTCAAGCCCGAGCTCGTGTGCGCCGGCACCTGGGGGCACGAATGTCTTTCTTTAAGCCATACTGTGTTCATAGCCATTGTCTTGCTCGCCGGATCCTTTGTTTGAATGCTCAAACATTGGATCATAGCAAGTTTTATCTTGGGAAGCCTAGGCCACAACGCTCCTAGCATCTACGGGAGGTGGCAAATAAGGTTTTAAGGAAAGAGTGCACACTTGACTCTTGCAAAAACCCAACACCAAACACTAGCCAATTTTCTTCAAATTTTCTTCCCTTCTTTCCAGAAAATAATAGTCAATTTTTTATTTGATTATTATTTGTTTTCTACCAACGGTTCCTACAATATTACTCTTATTAAATTAAATAATAAATTGGTAGTTACAACAAAAAATAATACATATGCATTTAATTAATTTAGAATTAGATGTCTATAATGCCTTTATTCAAAAAAATTATTCATTATAAAAAAATTAAAAAGAGATATAATTCAATAGTTATATTACCTCACAACACATGAAACATGTAGGGAAAAATTTATCGCTACCAAATATCAATAAGTGCTTGTAAGATAAAAAGTTCATAGTACAACTAAGATATCATGAGTATACACAACAATGCAAATCTAAAACTTCATAGTTCATACACCATAATCTCATTACATTATGATGTTCTCTATGCTACCACTAGTAACTCAATTGCACATGACACACTACCAATAAAAGAAAAAGACTGAAGATGAAGACAATGACAATGGTATCCAAAAGAGAATTAAGAAGACTTAGAAAAATTTAAACCAAAAGTAGTATTTATTTAGACTATCGCTTTTAGACTAGCATTATTACAAAATTGCAAACATTTATTTTAGTGACAATTATAATAATTCTCTCATATATTATCTTGCATTTATATACTTTGAATAACGATTTAAATAAACAAATTCAACATTCAATTACCTATGCATGAACATCTC